CAACTATGCAGTGAAAAAGTCAACTCCTGACTTTTTGAGGTCAAGATCATGTTCCTCAAGTTCAATATGACCAATGGATGGAATTTGATCAAGAAGAGTCAAGGGAATCATGAAAAATCAAGAATTGTTGAAAGTTGCCATTTTGGGACATTAGGGTTTTAGAAACTTTCCATTTATGGAAAGTTTCATGGTTGAAGCAGCCATCTTCAAGGCCATTTTGCTTCATGATCAAGGTTCTAAATGGTCTTGGGTCAAACATCAAAGTTGTTCCTTGTATTTCAAGCTTTCTTTTGAGTACCAATTCATAATCATATGATACTTGGAGCTCAAGTTATGATCAATCAAAGTTGAGGATTTCAATGACTTCAAAATTGGCAAGACTGGACAGATATTTTTGCAGGCCAATTTCCAACAAGTTCTTGATGCCAAATGAAACTTTGTCCCAAATTAAAGTTGTATAGTGTGTTCCAAGATTTCCAAAAAGTCCTAGAAGTCCTCCATATGATTTGTGAAGCTCAAGTTATGGATGTGCAAAGTTATTCATGGACAGCTTGCATGGCATGATTTTCAACATCATTTTTCATGGTCTTCCAATCCTCAAATCAAGATGATTTAAACATGAAAATTGTTCTTTTCCATGCCCTCTTTACTTAGAGCTCAAGTTTAGGGCAAAGTGATCTTTGTACACTAAGATATCATGGTCCAAAGTAGGTGATTTGAACATTTTTTGCAAGACATGAATCATGTGGCATTTGGGCATGAGGTGCATTATAGCATGCAACATTGTTACATTCACAAACCATGCGCATGGATTTACAAATTGAGCCTACCAAACATTGCCAAAAATGAACCAACACACAATGTACCTCTTTTGTTCATTTTTGAATCTTTTGCCAAAACAAGAAAGGGACAAGTTTGCTTTGTTCTGTCACATGCAGCCACTATGCTGCTCTTCCTACTGAGATAAAACAGCTCCATGTGCAAGCTGGCTCATGTACTATCTCTCCCATCCACCCTTGATTCAAAAATTCATGAAAAAATGCAAATCTGCCCCTTCATTTTTCACCATGGTAAAACCCTCCAAAACCTGATTTCACTCCATATTTAAGCTAAAGAGAAGCTTGAGAAAACCCTAGCCACCACTGTTGCAAGAGAAACCAGAATTTGAGCTTTGAACTCCTCCAAAAAACCGCCTTGTGCAAATTTCATACCAGCACCTTCTCCAATCATCCAACCACCCTAAAAAAAACCATCCAAACAACCTCAAAATAATTATCAGAAGGTGTTCCAACCATCAGTTTCTCCAGAAATACCACAAAACCAAAAGTCAACCTCTCACACCCCTTTGTTTGACTTTTATGCATAATATGTGCAAACTCACTACCTAGTTCAGTTGGAAACACTTAGGCACTTTGAACACCTTCCTTTTATGTTACTTCAACTATTTGAAACCTTAAAAAGCAAGTAGAACCTCATTTGTTGGATCTGTCCCAAAAAACCAACTTTTTCTTCAAAAGGAAGAACTTCAAAGCTTGCTCAAAGGAGGGAGGGATATCTTGCTGCTAGCTTGCTGTGAGGAGTCTACAAGAGGTAGGTATCTCTAAACTCTATTTTATATGCATAGGTATCATCAAAACATGTTTGAGTTTTTGTTTGTGTTCATGGTTTGTTAACTTTCATTTGAAATGTTGATGACATGTATGTGGCTATTAAATGTACAACCTTGTTATGTTGATTTTTGCAAGCTGTTTCCATGAGAGGTACACTTTGAGTTAGGTTGATGCTTGACACTGTCATGCCAAGTTTGCCTCTGTAATATTTTGAACTATTGTTTTGTGCTGCCAAGATGTGGTTTGTACACTAGAATCTTGCATTAAGGTTGTTTAGTTTAGTTGTTGATTTGGATTTTGTTTAAGACTCCGTTCCAAGCAATCAGGTAATCACTCTGCTGTTTTATCTCCTGTTTTGGAAACTGTAACAAAATAACCAACATCTCAACCCCCTCTCTCTTCTGAACCTATTATCACCTCTGATCCTTCTTCTCTTTCCCTTCCACACATCACCTCTGAGCACCATTCACATTCCTCTGAGCATGTTCATGTCTCTGTTGCCTCTCCTTTCTCCCAACCACAAACTTCCAACCCTCACACCACCTCTCAACATAACCAAGAAGCCACCTCTAAACACACCACCTCTATACCATTCACACCTTCATTCAATATCCCTCAGCGAACCAATTCTGCTGAAGTCCCCTATACAAACCAACCAGTTGTTACCAACCCCTCTGAACCTGAAATCTTTGATGCCACACCTCTCCTAACCATTCACCCAATTCCATCTGACTCATCTGACTCCTCCTCTGACCAATCAGATGCTACATCCCCTCCATATAACTCCCTAAACCATCCTCTTGAATTTTCTTCTCCCATTCCCATTCCCTCTCATTCTCCAGATAAACCATCATCCTCTTCTAAGCCTTCACTCTTTGATGCCCTTAAGCAATCCTTCTTTGATGCCTACCTTAAGCCCAAACCCAGACCAAATGTTGGTAATCTGTTATCTAGTTTTGAAACAAAGATGCAGATGTGGTTTTCTATTGTAAAGGAGAAGTGCCTCACTAGCACGAATCCTCGTGACTCTGAAGAGATCTGGATTGGCTTCAGAAAGAGATTCACTTCTGTGACTATGAATCTTCAGGATGCTTGCTCCGCAGATGCGCAAGAGAGAGTTTATGAAACTTGCTCAACTCAGTGTCAGCAGAACTCCTATTATGTATCTGGAAAACACATTTGCAGAGGTTGTGTGTTCCTCATCTGAGAAATCTGCTGCACCTCAGATTGGTGAAGGTCATCGTGCTGAAGAAGTTACCTCAGAGGCTCCTATTGATGAAGAGATTCCTGACTCTAGTCAACCCTCTGCTCTAGAATTAGGGAATGCACCTTCTTCATTGGTTGTTCAGAAAAAATGGTTATTCAATCACTCTTTATGGTAAGATGTGACTAAACTCGAATAGTACAAAAAAATGGTTCATCCAGTAAGAGTAACTCACCTCATTTATGTCCTCCTTCAATCTTATACAGGTCGCATTGGCAGCTCCTAGTACAATAACCTTTGGTCGATGGATTGTTAGGAACTTGAGGATACACTTCTGGTCACTTTTTTTGCGTTGCTGGTCATTGACATTCTGAGATCGCAGTGTCAGTGACCCAACATGCATTATATTAACCAACTCGCCTTTAGAATCCAACATGAAAAATGTGGTACCTGGTTTACCATTTCCCCAACAACATGCCACTACTCCCCGCAGTTGTGCAGCAGCATTGTCATTGTTTAGATACAGTGCAACAGAAATTTTGTTCCAAAACTGCATCCCATACTTCATTAATGAGCAGATTTTGGCCTTAGCATTTAACAATGTTCGTGCTTCCTTCTCCATAGAAGGCAAAAGAATGCTTGAAATAGTGTCCTGCACAATTGATTTACACTGCTCATTCCAAAGTCGAGTAGATATTCCTTTAGTGTCTTTAAGATAATCATCGTTGAAGATCGCCATCAACTCCTTTACAGCATCATCAGGCAACTTTATTTCAACTTTAAGAAGTTCCTCTTCTTCACCCTTCTGAATGAGAAGCCACTGAGAATCCTCAAACTTCAAGAGAGGTTTGTCCTTCAGCCACTTAAATCTAGCAAATTCATGAAAGGAATCTATTGATATATTTCCTTTCAATGTAGGGCTAGTTGATACTAAAGCCTTATCCATAAATATGTTGCAGACATGTTTCCTGAAAGGTATCTCACAGGTTAACATCAAGGAAGCCTGGAAAATAAAATTTTAGTGTAAGCTAAGTTATGACAAATTAATTTGATAAACTTATGGAGGACCAATTGATAAACTAAACAAAATACCATGTGCCTGGCGCCTTTAGGTACGGTTTCGGACGTTCGAAAATTTTCACATGTATATATTGAAGCCATCTCCTCTGGAGATTCCTCTGGATCTTCTTCACAGGAAATTCCCTAGTATACAATAAATTCTCCAGTTATCTATCAATCAAAAAACAAATGGAATTATGAAAACATTAAAGCACGGGCCAACAAAAGCAAAAATTTACCACTTTGTTAAGAGTAACTAGAGAACTAAATTTCTCAGGATTTCCAATTTTCCTAGCAAGTGAAGACAATCCTTCCTTTCTGCAATCGGAATAGTATGTCTTCATCAGAGGCCTTTTATAACCACTACTTAAGAACTCATCAGCTGGTGGAAAATACAAATTAAACTTCATATCAACATCATCAATCTCTTTCTCTGTTTCCGCCTTCTCGAGCATATTAGTGATCGAGTCAAAATTTTGTTTGGCTTCTTTTGAAAGCGAAGATGAATGTTTCATGCCTTTAAACTTTTTTGGTCTATAAGTCAACAACAAAATCTAATATTGAAGGGCTAATAACAGCAAAACATTATAAAATCTATCAGTATATTATCCAGTTATTAATGTTAATCGTGATATAGTATACCTGAGAGACTCTCCCTTCCCATAGATAGCAGGCTCTTCGTCCACTATAAAATCTGACATATCATCTTCAGCATCATCAGACACATCTTCGAAAAGATTGTTAAGAGATCCTAGATGATTATTTAAATTTAAATTAATTTACAAATAATAGTAAACAAAAAAAATCTAGAGGAAAACTGAAGATATATAAGGAAGAATTGTTCCATCATATGAAACTTGAATTATCATTGAAAAACAGGAAGCAAAATATAAGATGATGAAACAACAAGCTAATACTGATCACCTTCATCATCAGAAGATTGTTCCATCGGCTCGGTAACTCTGCCAGTCTTTTTAAGCCTCTTGAGCTTTCCATCATTCTACGAATACCAAAGAAAGAAAAAAATAAGATAAATTATAAAAAGCAATCTCTCTGATGCTTATAAATCATTAAAGTAGCAGTTATATAGAAGTAAAAGCTAACCATTTGTTTCTTGTTCTCATGGATCAACTCAAGATCATCGTCATCAAGAACAATGTTTTTTGACGATCTCCTGAAAATGGGCAACAAAAACACAGTATTGAGTCAATGCTAACTGCTAGGCAATGCAGAAATGTAAACTTGCATTAAAGGGTAGGAAAATATAATAACTTTCTATTTTTTTCTTTTGTGTTTGCTTAGAATTATCTTCTTCATCGCTATCTTCCTCGTCTTCATCACTACCAACTAAAAACCCATCCACCTCAAACTCATCCATCTCTTCATTTGCTTCATCAAGTCAAGAAAAAATAAACCATTAAAACATTTTCCAACAACATCCTCGGTAGTACTACTGTCTCACACCACCTATGAATCTCACATTTTCTTAGATTATTACCATTTTCTGAGTGTCAATACTGTGTTCATGTAAGTGCTTCATAACAAGTACCAAAAACGTATTTCCCGTATACTTAAAAAAAATAAAAAAAAAATATAAACAAAAATCGTTTGATCAAATTTAAAATAAAAACAGCATCATTGCATTTCCGTATAAAAAGCATTATTACATTTTTCACTTACACTTCAAAATGCTCAAAAATCAACACATGCAATAATAACTACACAACAAAAAATTGAAAACAATCACTAAATGAACTCTTTCACTGAAGCTGATTGAACCTAAGTTCATGGAGTTACCGTCATCGTCGTCAACAGTAGAAGCTAATTTCCGTTTCCCTTTCCTTTGGATTTTCTCTGAAAAACAGAAACACGAATCAGAATCATAGAAATGAAATTAGTATAAAAAAATCGACGATAATTGTAATGTGCGTAGCTAGTGAAATGCAATGTAGAGATTTTTCACCTTGTTCATTTTCTTCGGGAGTGGATTTTTTTCTTACTCTCGCCATCGAAAATGAAAAACCCTAGCTCTTGAAGAAGAGTTTCAGAAGCTATGCAGAGGGTGAAATGAAAATGAAATTGGTGCTTGTGGAAATGGAGAGAGTGAGGTTGCAATTCGCGTTTTTGAGTAGTTATTACCTTTTTACCAGGATGAACCGAAAACTCGCACACCGCTGAAAACTCACGCACTATTACGTTTGAAAATTAAGACATATGAAAAAAACCGTTAGATTTTTCGGCAGAGAATAGAGAAAGTTGAAGGAGAACATTTACACACACACACAAGTTGAATAAGAGTCTGTAGTTGAAGGAAACTCTTGATAGGGCGCAGAAACCTACAACGACGAAAACTCTTGATAGGACGCAAAAACCTACAACGAAGAAGAAGGAGAAGCTTTTGTGTAGTCGAATTTAGTTAGGTTGGCTTCTAGGACATAGAATTTGAAGGGGCGGGGCTGAACAACAAGATATAAGATAGGGTTGGGTTTGGGAGAAGCTCGTACCATGAAGAAAGGATTAGGGTTAAATATGGGATGAATAACAAAATGTTAGGGTTAGAATCAATTTGGGATGAATGTTTCTTCTCTCTCTATGCGTTAGAATCAATTTGGGAGGGAACTGAAAATTTTACGCAGGTTTGGGAGGGACAATGAAAAGTATACACATATGAGAACGATGTTAGTAAATAATATTTTATTAAAATAATTAAAAATTATATAAGAACGGCTCTAGCCGTTGCTAATAGGAGTCGTTCTCATTGTCCTCTACAAGAACGGTTTTGCACCGTTGTATAAAATTTACAAAAAATTATATAAGCTACCGCAACAAATTATATAATTAGTTGCCTATTACTCTCTACGAGAACAATTTTTTTACTTCCTGAAAATTAGGCGTTGCTATAGAGTAAAAATGTTGTAGTGAAGCCAATGCCATATCCAAATAATTATGTCCTTGACTTTCTTGGAAATAGATTGATATATGATAAAAGACAATATGTTATCAAGGATCAAGAAGAGATTTACCATAATCTATTTCAAAAATTAACGGGTATTAATTTTACAATTATTTCAATAATATTATTTTATGCTTTATTAAGCCTTCTATAATAGTTGTTCATCTTTATTCTCATCAAGTTAAACACATATGCGGTACTTATTCTATAATGTTCATGGAGTAGATTTTAGTAATTATATATTCATGATATTCATTATATGGAATAGTTGTGGTATACCTCCTATCAGGATTTGAAAATTTAAACTTTGCTAATGTAACAACTTTGATGGTGTGTTCTTTTTGAATGTAAATGAACAACATGAAATTTTTAGACAAGTTATGCAAGCTGTCACAAATCAAAATGGTGGAATTTTTTTCTTATATGGTTATGGTGGGACTGGAAAGACTTTCATGTGGAACACACTTTCTGCTGCTTTGCGTTGTCAAGGAGATATTGTGTTAAATATAGCATCTAGCGGAATAGCAAGTTTGTTGTTACCAGGTGGGAGAACTGCACATTCAAAATTCAAAATTCCAGTTCCATGTCTGGAATCTTCCATCTGTAACATTGAGAGAAAAAATCAGATCTTGCTAATCTCTTAAAGGTAACAAAACTCATTATATGGGATGAAGCACCTATAGCTAATAAGTTTTATTTTGAAGCTCTTGACAAGTCATTGAAGGATATAATGAGTGATGACAATGTTGAATGTCAACAAATTTTTGGAGGCAAATGTAATTTTTGGTGGAGATTTCAGACAATTTTACCTGTTGTACCAAGAGGTAATAGGTCTGATATTGTCCATGCAACAACAAATGCATCATATATTTGGGATCATTGCAAAGTTTTGAATCTAACCAAAAATATGAGATTGCAAAGTGGTCCTAATTTAAGCAATTTAGAAGAAATTAGGCTATTCTCATATTGGATTTTACAAGTTGGCAATGGGAAAATCTCATAACCCAATGATGGCTATGTTGAAATAGATATTTCTGAAGAGCTACTCATTAGAAATTTTGTGGATCCAATTCAGGCAATTGTTACAAGTACCTATCCAAATCTACTTCAAAATTACACAAATCTAGATTTCCTTCAATGTCGAGTAATTCTAGCATCAACTATTGAAATTGTTGATGACATAAATGACTACATAGCTAATCTTCTTTCAAGTATATTTTAATCTCTATTAGTTATGTCTGATACATGAATACTCTTTTCTTTAAAAGTGCATATTTTAGTGAAGTCGGACTATTAAATATAATATTTAAGAGTTGTATACTCTTTTTGTTTCAAATATATAAATATTTATACTTCAATAATCATTCTTTTTCATGAAGGTGATTGTAAAGAGTATTTGAGTTGTGATTCCATTGATAGATCAGAAGCAAATGATAATTATGCTTTCAAGTATTTGACACCAGAATTCTTGAGTTGTCTTAAAACTTCTGGTTTGCCTAACCATTCATTGAAATTGAAAATTGGTACAACCATCATGTTGATAAGGAATTTGGATCAATCAGAAGGGTTTTGCAATGGTACAAGGTTGACAGTTACTAAGTTAGCCAACTATGTAATAAAAGTAAAGATAATTTCAGGTACAAATATCGGAAACACTATTTACATACCACGAATGTCTTTGTCTCCTTCTCAATCTCCATGGCCATTTAAACTTATCAGAAGACAATTCCCAATTATAGTGTCATTTGCTATGACAATAAACAAATCTCAAGGGCAATCATTGGATTATGTTGGTTTATATTTGCCCAAGAATGTTTTCAGTCACGAACAACTTTATGTTGCTATTTCAAGAGTTAAGAGTAAAGCTGGATTGAAAATCTTAATACATAAAAAAGACAACAACTCCTTAACTCAAACAACAAATGTTATCTTCAAAGAAGTTTTTCACAACGTGATCTAGGTACATTTTTACTATTTCTTTAAACTATTAAGTTTATTAATAAAATTCTCTTTTTTTGTTTACTATATTTCCTAACACCTAAATTTATTTATTAAGCTTTCACACACTATCATTTTTGAAGAAATAATACAAATGTCACCATGCAAATGTAAGTCATTTTTTCAAGGTCAAAATAATGTTTTCTCTCTTCTAATTAGAATATTTCTCTAATTCTCATTTCATTTATCATGCTTGTAGGTTATGTAATCTCTTCGATTGCTTCTAACAAGGCTTACTGTATTATTAGAATCAAAAATTTATTATTAGTTTTTTATTCTATGTTGGACATATTATAATTGTGTTAAGCATTGTCAATATATTTTAAAACAGTTGAATATTTTCACAATTAATACTGTGAAATTATGATCATTTTGATTTTGTTATTTCTATCTAACAAATGCTCTTATATTAAAGAATTAACTTTTCCGTGGGTCCCGTGCAGACGCACGGGTCTTCTACTAGTGAAGAGATGGAAGAAACAAAACCCAACCCAACCCAAAAAGATTCATTCAGTAAGGCGCACGCTGTGTCGTGTTGTGTTACGTGGCACTAACGATGGGCTGGGCTTTTCTTAAAATATAAAATGTACATTTTTTAGACACCATGCGGATTTATTATAGAAGGTGGGAAGTCGGGTTAAATCCTTGGTAGGGACGAAATAAGTAGAGTATAAAGGTGGAAAATTGGTGAAGTCGGGTGTGATTGTGGAGAGAATAATAGATGCATGGAATCACATAATAAATTCTTCTATAAAAGAATTATATTCCGATTTCGTCATTCATTTTTAGAAAGTTTGTGAAAAGTATCCGGCTTTGTTGAAATATGTGAAAACACCATTCTTGATCAGGTGTAGGAGAAGATAGTTTGCGCGTGGATTGACAATGTCTGACACCTTAGAAATACAACCACCAACAGTGTTGAGTCGACTCATGCTACTTTGAAAAATTGGTTGAGAAATAGTAAAGGGGATTTATGTTGAGATTAGGACTCGATGAACCACATGATTCAAAATCAACATAATGAGATACAAACAATATTTGGTCAGAACATCACAATTTTAGAACATTGATTCAAAGACAACATTCTTTATTCTCATTTGGTCGGTAACATTTCTCGGGCAGGGTTGAACTATATTTTTTATGAGGTCAAACAAGATGATAATGTAGGCTCCGATAGTGCAAAGTATGGTTGCACTATTGTGAAAACACATGGTCTCTCTTGTGCTTGTGTTATTGCTAAAAAGGTGAAACTTTGTGAACTAATAAGAATGACGAGGTTTTCTCTCATTGGAAGAGACTTAGTTTCGATGATGATGGATGCATGGATGAAGGTAAATCAAATATCTCTATTTTGACCGAATGGGAAGCAATACAAGAGATATTTTCGAAGACCGATGACAACATGAAACTCCACATCAAAGAACAATTGAGGAAAATTTCCTATCCTGAAACCACCGACATGAAACCGCCTTCTCAACTGGTAAAAATGAAAGGTGCTCTAAAGAAAATGAAGCCTACAACGAATGACAACTCGAGTACACGGTCTCCTTCATACTTTGAACACATTGATAAAGTATTTCCCGATTCACCGAGTCTAAAATCTCAAAAAAAATATTGTTAAAAGTGATCGAATTAGCAAACCACCTCCAACGCTGCTTCCACCGAAGATTCCATTCATTGACGAGATGCTGATTTTTATGCACAAATATATCGATCGTATCGTCAATGTTGCGGGAGACGCTAATTGCGGTTATCGAGTCGTTTCGGCTTTACTTTGTAAGGGAGGAGATACTCATGCGCTAGTTCGTCATCAACTTATCCAAGAGACGCATAAGAAATCATACACGCTATTGTACAGAAGAAACAAAATTCGACGCGGTTTATGAGTCACCTGTTCCTTGCTTCAGCGGTCTGATACCAGATTCAAAATGGATGAGCTTCCCGGATATGGGTCACCTAATTGCATTTGCATATGATATGGAGTTGTTAGCTCACAAATTCGATGCTCATACTAGAATAAAATATTTCAATAAAATATCAAACTCTTGAAGAAATATG